TCTATAGATTCTACAGATTCAGTTGATTTGAATTAACCAATCTACTTCTAGTTGGATTGGCAAAAAAAAAAAAAAAAAAGTTTTCAAATAATGGATCTAAGCCAGCTGACTGAATTCAAGAGAGCAGTCAACAATAGGTTTATTTCCAGCTAACTCTCAGATAGCCCCAGTAAACAAGCTTAAGAGTATTTACTTCTGCTGGGTGTAGTTAACAGTTCCGTAGAATATAATAACCTGTAAATGACCCTTCAATCTTATGAGAACTTCAAACAAGAAACAAGGGCTTCTGTTTTAGGTGACAACGTGTTGAATAAACAAGCTTGCAGGCTGATCACTGCTGGGATTTGGAATAAGGAATAAGGTAATAAGGAAAAGATTTACGAAGATTACCTTCCTAATATAAAAAAGAATTCTATTCCTATCATGGTCTTCTCTAAATTAGTTTAAGGTTGCTGAAATGAAGACGACTCAGGCAGGAAACCCCAAAGGAAATTTTGTTTGGATGAAAGGACTGACGTTCAAATTCTGGCACTCTTGACTGGATCCCATGAAACTCTTTTCTTTCTTTCCAATGGCCTCTACCCAGATTGCCCTACAGCAGGGATCGGCAAAGAGCCACAAAGGTCCTAACTGGAAGCCCCCCCCTTCAATTCTGGAGCCGACCGGAAGTCTGGTTCCCCCACCAAAGAGTCTTCTCCTAGTGCGGCATCCTTTTTCCTCTACCTGTCCTAACAGCAAGCTTTATCAATTGTGGAGCTGACTGGCGACAGGGAGATTCATAAGAGGGATGAATGAGCCACATGCGGCTCCAGAGACGCGGGTTGCTGACCCCTGCCCTTGAGCTGAAAGAACTCACGTGCCCAGCACCTCCCGAAATTCATAGATTTCCCGGATGTCTTCTGCTGTTTTTTTCCAGCTGAGCTCATCGTCTTCCAGAGGCATGGTTCTTCTTTAGGCTAAGAGCTTGGGTTGTTCAATTCCCGGCTGGCTCGGAGCAGAGGAAACAGGCGGATTGTAGTAAATTCAAGGTACAGCTAGCTGAGTACAGGCAGATGGCATTAGAACAAAGGCATCGGAAGGCTTCACCCTGAAATTAAGCAGAAGAAAGGAATGGGTGGCAACACGAGGCTGATGAATAAACTGCATATTCAGCTCAGTTCTCCGCATACATATGGAGAATTGCATTTGATGAAGTTTGCCACGGCTCCTGAAAGCTTCTACCTTTTAACAGAATTTGGAAAAGGTGTTCCCAGATAATCTGTTTTTTTTTTTTTTACTGTAGCTATCATAAACTAACATGGCTCTCTTCCTTCACTGTGAAGCAAGAATTTCCTCTTCCCTTCAGTCAGTGGTGGGATTCAAAATCGTTACTACCAGTTCTGTGGGCGTGGTTTTGTGGGCGTGTGTGGCTTTGTGAGCATGGCAGGAGAAGGATACTGCAAAATTCCCATTCCCTCCCCACCCCACTAACCTGCTTTCCAGCT